AGGCCGGGAGGGCCCGGGGTCTGCACCTCGGAACCCTGAGATCCACCCGGCCTGAAACTTGCGGGGCCACCGGGCCGCCCCGCCCCGCGCGGACCCCAACCCCGCATCTTCTCCTGCTCTGCAGTGTGTCCTCTCGGGGACACCTGGGAGCTGCACGACGGTGACGGCACCCGCTGTGCCCAGTGCCAGGAGAGTTGTGCACTCGTCTCACTACTGTCTCGTTATTCTTTTTTTTAAAAATTAGTCTGTGTTTGCAGTACGTTCGTCGTGGGGAGTTGGTCCTGGTACATAACACATCTCAGTTCTATTTTTCCTCTCATTTACCTCCCACCTTTTTCCATCTCTTGGTCACCTTCCCTTTTGCAGAATCATCATTGTTAGAAATTATCTTTCTAGAAGAAGAAACGTATGCTCATCAGAGATTTTAAACGTCCGAAGGCTTGCAGCTGAGAGGATATGAATCCTGATCAGACTGGAAAGCATATTTCTTTCAGTCATCTCACGCTGCCTTCCGGTGACAGTTTTGTTTGACATTCTTTGCACCAGTGTAGCTTTTGTGTTTCCAGTTTTTGCCCCCCATCGGCTCCTTTTCCCTCTTGGAATTGTGGAACCAGTAAGTACCAAGACTGAACGAGGCTGAGCCATTGAAGGAGAGTTTTATTCTCAGCCAAGAATAACAAAAGTGGATGATAAACTCACAGGTCCACTTTTTCTTTGGAGGGGTACTGTGGATCAAACTCAGGACCCCTGCACTTGTGAGGCAGGGGCTGCGCCACTGAGCTACATCCCTGGTCCTGTAGATCAGCATCTTGACCCTTGGGGATCAGTAGGTCATGGATACAGGGTACAAGAAAAGCAGGGAGGTGAATTTGTAAAGGAGAGAAATATTCATGTCTTTTCTGCGGGTAGCCTGAGATTTTCTGGAAAATGGAGTGCCCCTCTTTTCCCTCCTTTTATGGTTCTTTCCTGCTGTGTGGCAGTTGACCCCTCTCCTGCCTCTGAGGGTGTGCTCCTTAGTTTGCCTTATAGCGTGGTTAGAGGGTGACTTTTGGTCACTCTGATGACTTAGATCCCACTAGTTTCTTCCAGCTCACCAAAGTGGGAGTTGGGCTGCAGTCACTCTGTGCTCAGGATAAACAAGAATAGGGCGGGGTGGGAATTCAACTTTGTCACCTGGGCGGTGCCAGGTTCAAAAGCCTGAAATCCACTTTTGAGAAATGAGTGTTTATTACTGTTTTTACTTTCTAGTGCTGTTTTTTGTCCAGTGTCACCTGCCATTCAGAGCACCTGCATCCTCAGTGTGGCCTTGTGTCCTCACAGCTGGCCGCCAGGTAAGCAAGCAGAGACGATAGGTTATTTCCTGTTTTCTCTGTGATGATCTCTGGCCTTGGGCAGCCAGGTGTACAGCTTGTGGCCTGCAAACGCGACTGAGAGAACTGGGACCGGATCAGAGTTTTGTAGACCACTTTTCTGAGCTCAGAATGGACTTTACTCTTTACACAAATAGTTGGGGAAGAAATGAAAGACGAATTTTTTTTATGACATATGGAAATAATATGAAATATAAATTTTGGTGTCCATGAGTAAAGTTTTATTGAAGTACAGCTATCTGAGCTCATTTGTTTACGTATTGTGCCTGGCAATTTTCACTCTGCAAGATCAAAGTGAGTAGTTATGACACAGGTTATATGGCCCACATGTCTTAAATAATTACCATTTGTCCCTTTCCCAAATGTTTGCTGAGCCCTAGTTGAGACTTTAGTATCCTCTTTGCATTAGTCACTTTCCTGTGGCTGGGACAAAATACCCAACAGCCACACCTGGAAGGTGGGGAGGTTTAATTTAGCTCATGTTTCAGGGAATTCAGTCCGTGGCTGGCTGCTTCCAAGGGAGAAGTAGTATGGCAGAGGGGCCTGGCGGAGCAGAGCTGCTCACCCCATGCCAGCCAGGAAGCAAAGGGGGAAAGAGGGGCCAGGGAGGGAGATCAACCCTCCACAGGCACAGCCCTAGTGACACACTGCGTCCCACTCCTGCCGGCGTTTAGTGACGAGCTCATCCGTTCACGGGATGAACCCACTGACAGTACAGCACCTCTGCAATCTAGTCACCTCCAAGAGACGCACTTGGGACTGTGAGACTTCCAGGGACATTTTCGATCTCAACCGTAACATACATTCAGTTCTAACTCCACAGAAGTTCTGTCCTGTCTTGTCTGTGTCTCTGTCCTTTGCTCTTCCCAAAGGCTGGGACGTAGGGACTGTTTTTAGTTTCGGTACAAGGAAGCTGAGAAAGAGGCACATGAAAAAACTGCCAAGATTTCATAGCTGTAAGTGGTGCAGCCAGGATCCAAAATGATGTAACTCTAGACAAGTTTTCATTTATAGCAGTCGAAACTCATAACACCTCTAAATAATACCAGTAAGTAATCTGTTGCTAAAAATGTATTCTAGGCAAACCAATCTTATTGCTGAAGCTGATATTTTATTTATTCTTCACTTCCTTTTTTTTTGAGAAGTGAAGATAATATAGTGAAGAGAAATATAACACTTATCTATTTATGGAAATCACTATTTATGGTTTTCTATCTGTACCTTTGAAGTGTGTCATGGACAGTGTCTGTAATTTATGTCATCGTAAATGGCACATGCCCTTTTTCTTCACTGGGCAAACCCAAGATGCCTAGTAGACATCTGGGATTCTGTTCATGTGACATCAAAACCAAAGAAAAGGATGAACAGAAGGTGTGCTTCTGTATGGGAAGCATCACATGGGCATATGACTATGTTGGAGACTAGTAGTTAAAAGAAAGTAGGTAAGAACTTTTAGCAGAGATGTTTTTAAAATCAGAAAAAGGAGTGGCCACCTTATATAGAGTTGGTATATAAAATGTTGACACTACATCAGATTATTTTGAAAAGGTTTTTGTCTGTATCAGAAGGTATGAGATAGAGTGATCTTCAAGGCCAGCTTATGGGTCTAGACATCTTGGATTAATCTATTTGGCCATTTATGAGTGGAACGACATAGGGTGTTAGATTCTTCAGGTGCAGAATGAGAATAGTAATAGACCTGCCTCAATAGGACTGTTATTTTATTTTTAATATAATTTTATTTTTGGTTCTTTTGAGGTGGGCTCTCACTATGTAGTTTAGGCTGGTCTTGAACTCACTGTGTAGCTCAGGCTGGCCTGGAACTTGAGGCGATCTTCCTGCCTCGGCCTTCTGTGTGCTGGGATTACAGGTGTGCGGCACCATGCCTGGTGGCCTCAAAGCCTAGTAGCTATTGAATAACAGCCGCCTTGTTTACTTGGGATTCTGTAGGTCACCGCTGGGGCTGACTCGCTAGCTGACTCCCTCGTCCCTCATCCCCTCTGGGCTCCCTCATGTGGCTGACGTTCACCTGGCAGGCAGGTGGGGCAGGACCTCAGGGTAGCTTTTCCACGTGGGACTGGGCTCAGTGCCCTGGTCGTGCTTCAAGACCTCCTCAGGCAGCAGTCTCTGAGAAGCAAGAGTGAGGGCGGGGATGCTGCAGGGCCTTGACTCCCGGATTATTGTGATTTGCTGGGAGGATTCGGAGATTACTTCCGTAAAAGGGTACAAAGCGACCTAAACACAAGAAGTTCGGCCAGGCTCAGGCTTCTGGAGGCCTTCCTGGTCCGGCCACACGGGGCACCCTGAGTTCCCCCAGCAACAGGCCGTCAGCCCTCCTGCGGTGTTGTCCTGGGGAGCCCCTGGGGGACTCGGCCAGCCTTGCCATCCTGGGGTGCGCTCTCAGGTCGGGGCTGTCTGGCAGGTACCTAAACTCCAGGCTCAGAGGGAAATCAGATGTTCAAGAAAACGCCGTTGTCTGTGCACGGTTTGCACAGGGGCCACTCTTGTTAGAGACGTTCCTGAACCGTAGAGAACGCTCAAGTCTCTTAAAGGCTCGGTTCGCGATTTCCTGTGTGCCATCCTCGTCCCATTCTGTTGGTCAAATCGAGTCACAGGACTGGCCTAGGGTCCAAGGGTTGGGAAAATGGACACCAGAGAGGTGGAAAGAGATTGGCTTCTTTTTTTACGCTCTACTACAGATTAATTCACCTACCTCAAAACAAAAATCTCTTCGATCCTGCTTTAATCAGTTACATCTGTTCTGTCATGACAAGCCTGCAGATTTGCACGTCTGTTTTGTGTGAAGTTCCAGAATCGGAGGTTGGATTTTGTTATTTTAAGAGATTTGGCTTAAGAAAACAAAAGGAGAGGAAAATATGATGGAGCAGAAGTTGTATTATTCTGTTTTCCTGACTGTAATGAAAAGCAAGCGTGGAATATTCGGGATGACCTCTTGTTCACTACTCGTTTTCCTCTAGCTGTTAGCACACAATACGCGTTACTTTCCAGCTCGGGTGCACTTGAGCCTTGTATCCTGTCCCGCTTGAAGAGCATGGCTGGGCTCAAGCAGAAGTCCGTCTTGGATATGATTAAAGTGTTCAGGAGGAACTGGCGCACCCTGTGCAGCTCTGAAAGAACAACTCTCTGCGGAGCGGACGCCATGTTCCTGGCGCTGCAGCTGGCCATGGCGGAGAACAATAAACTGGTTAGTAAACTATACTTAGGTTCACTTTTTTTGTTTTAAATCAAAATTTGGTTGCTTCCTTTTTAAATAAACTTAAACTACTTTCAGTATTTGCCTCCCCAGGCCGGGATGTAGCTCAGGGGTGCTGCTGCCTGCCTTGCAAGCCCAAGGTCCTGAGTCCTATTCCCGGTACCAAAAAAACAAACAATAGTATTTGCCTCCCTATGGTAATGCACTGTTTTCCAGAGCATCTCTGTATACCTGAAATTATTGCAATCGCCCTTGAAATGATTTGTTTCAAAATCAAGGCCCTCGTGTGTACGGTTGAACACATTTGATGTTTCATGGGGAGTCGTAAGATAAACATGCAACTCTTAGGATTACTGTGGTTACTTATTCCTATTTAATAAGTATTCTTTCATTCCCTAAAGGAAGCTATAGAAGGCACACGTAATTTTCATTTACACATAATCACGAAGTGTCAGTCTGGCCTTTGGCTCCATGGGACGTCCTGTTCCCACGTCAGGCTGTGTCAGTATCATGTGGGAAGATTTTTCAAAAGTATTGGCTTATGTGCTCTAATCCTACAAATTCTGGTTCTCCTAGTCCACACTGACAGGCTGGAAAACGTCTCAAAAATCTCCCAACGCAGGGCTGGGATGTAGTTCAGTGGTAAAGCACTTGCCTTGCGTGAAGAGGTCCAGGTTCAGTCCTCCGCACTGCAAAACAACAGACAAAACAGAAAAATCTCCCCAAAGTTTTCTTTCATGGGTGTCCTGGGCCAAGCTAAGCTAGCTCAGGGGCTAGAGACTCATGAGAGAGAAGGATGCATGTAGGCCTGGGTGGTAAGAGGAGACCTCTTGATTTTAGATTGATTTTGGATAAAGGAAGGGAAAGATTTAGAGGAGGGTGAAGGAAAGGGAAGTCAGGTCAGAAGAAGAGTCCAGAGCAATTCGAAGCATGGTGTGAAGTTGGTAAAGATGCTGGCTTAACTAGCGAGCAGGGCTTTTGAAGGGCGGAATTCGTTTCATTGAGTCTGTTTGGCTAAAGATATTCTGATCAATTATTTTTTGTCTAGACTTTTAGGGTTAATAGACCAGTAAAATTTCTTCAAAAAATATTAGACATGGATTATTTGATCTTTTCTTATTTTGGCAAATGATGCCATTAAGAAAAAATAGTTACTGTATATTATAACCATGATTTTGAAAAAAGCAAGAGTATTTTTTTTTTTTGGTGCCGGGGATTGAACTCAGGTCCTTGAGCTTGCAAGGTGGGCAGCGGAACCACTGAGCTAAATCCCCAGCCCCGGCAAGAGCATCTTTAACACTAAAACTAGGAAGTATATAATGTTGAAACAAGGGATAATCTTTTCTATGCATGAATATTTGGCAGTTTTGCATACTTGAAACAATGTAAGATAAAAGTTTGGATAGAAAAATTTGGCAAATTGTTTGGATCTTATTTTAGGTAGCAGTCGCTCTTTAAAAAATACTTATTGAGTTTTTGTTGTGTGTTTGACATTCATCTAAACTATGCGGATCCAGCAAGGAAGGAAGAAGTCCTGCTTTCAGGAAGTTAAATTTACTTCCAGTGGAGAGAGACAGGTGGTGCTCTAATAAATCAGGTAGAGCGTGTTTTAGGTCTTAAGAGATACTTTGGAGAAAAGTAAAACAAAAATGCAACCAAGGATCGTGCAGAGGTTGAGGTGGTGGGGCTCCTGCAATTTAAAGTAGAATTAGGCAAGGCATCATGTAGTGCTCCATTTAGCAAAGATTTGACAGGCAGGAAGGAAGTAACCATGAGGATTTTAGGGGACGGAATGACCAGGCGGAGAGAGCAGCAGACGCACGGCCCCTGAGGGCAAAAATGTGCTTGGGATGTCCGGGGAACAGCAAAGGGGCTGATGGCGCTATTTATTTAGATGTCGGTTTCTTCCCTCATCTTCCTCCTCCTCCTTCTCCTCTGGAGCTCGTTCTAATACCAGCTCGTTCTACTGTGAGAAGTGTGGGGCTGACTTGATGAGCAGAGGTACTCTTGGCTCTGCCTTCATGAAGCTTATTCCCCAGCAGAGCAGTGCTCAGGTGCGTGTGGGAGCCGAGAGGCGCGTGTGCGGCTCTGCAGGCCGGAGCCGACTGGGCGAGGGGGTGAGCGAGATGGAGAAATGCAGGAAGAAGGAATGGAGGACCAGCACGCAGCATCCTGGTGGGGAGACAGGTCCGCTGAGAGATGCCGGGCTGCGGGAGGCTGCGCGTCTCCTCTGTCTAGTCTTTGTTTTTAGTCAGAGTTGTTAAAAGTCACTTTTACACCGGTGTCTTGACAAAATGAAGAAAGTACCTTTTTGACTTGTTACTTGAAAAAGCGTTTACCAGGAAAGTTACAGGAACAAGACACTGATTTCTGTGCACCTTTCAGTGGGATTTACCAGTTATTAATGTTTCGATACATTTGCATATCATTATTCTTTTTATATTTATGTATACCTAAATGCATACAAGTATATGTGTGTACATGCACATCTTATGCTGAACCATTGATAGTGGCAGATAGCTCGAGCATTTAAATCCCTAAACACTTTAGCTTATACATTCAGTCCAGTGCCCTTATAAAATCCTAGTGCAGTTGTTAAGTGCAGGAAATGTAACAGTGGTGATATTTTATGTGTGACACGGGGCCTGTAGTCAGATCTCACTCGATCAAGTCCACATCATGAACTACTTACTGGTAGTTGGCTTTTCTGCAGTCTAATGTGGGCCAGCCTTTTAGTCTTTCACCCTGTGTGGCCGGTCTCTAGATGTTTCCACAAAACCTCAGGTGCTCCCAGGTGAGCTTTTTGGAGCTGGCTGGATCTAGAGTGTATGATGCTGGGATTAAAGGTGTGTGGTACTAAAGCGGTCCACTGATTGGAATTAGCATAGTTCTGGGTGTGGATAATGGGAGCCCCAGCCTGGGTGTGACTGGCACCAGGCAACAGGTTGGTAGCCTGCATGGAACATAAAGGGACAGAAAGGAGGCGGGCTGGCTACTCAGTGCTTGCTGCTTGGTGCTTTTCTGCCTTCTGTTTGCCCTGCCATGGACCGTTTTTCCTCTGTGATGTCCCTCTGACACGACTTTACTTGGAGCCAGCCAACTCTGCCCTGAAACCTCTGGAACTGTGAGCCACAATAAACCTTTCCTCCTTTAATTTGGAATGTTCTGTCTCAGCAATGAGAAAAGTGACTAAGACAGTGGCCTTCATTTCAAGTTGTACAAATCACTGGTGTTATATGTGCCACCTCAATCTGGGTTGTTGTTACTTTGTTCGTATTATTAAGCATTTTTGTCAGAAACAACTTATAAATTGGTCCCTTCAGTCTGTTGCTATGGGAGAAGCCTGGTTTCATTTTGCTCCATGATAAGTGATGCTCAGCTCTTACTTGATTAAAGCCAGTTAATTTCAGTCTGCCTGAGTCCTTCAGGAGAAATGCGCTAGGAAAGAGCCAGCTGGTAGATGGTGATGAAGTTAACCGGGGTTAAGGGAGGAAGTAGCGATGAGAGATGAATGAGAAGAGCTTGCTATAGAAATGAAACGAGGAAAGGAAAACTGGTGTTTGAGCTTGTGGAGAGGTGATCAAGGGGAACTGGTGGGGAGAGGAAATTTGAAACAATGACGGAATGCACAGGGAGATATTTATGCTCTTCTTCAGCCTGCATTATTCCTTGGCAATGGTCTAATATCTGGTAATCTTTATAAGCAAGTGTTACATCCTTTTGTCTTTCCCCTCTATTATTCTACTCAGTTTCTTAAGTCAGGAGTAAGAAAGCTCAGTTGTAAGATGTGTGCATTTACCCATGGAGAGTTAGGGAAAATTATGAATTACCTAAAAACTAAAAAAGAAAAAAACAAAACAAAACAAACCCTTGTTTCTAAACTAAGGAAAGAGCTAAAGCAAGTGCATGAAAAAGTAGCTCAGAGGAGAAAATTTGTTTTTAAATTGAAAGTCATGAAATGGTCCGTTAGTTCCAAGTGTAAATTATTTGTATTACAAAAGCTAATTTTTATATGTCGGCTTTTCAAATTTGTAATCTGTTCAACCAGAGAAACAATGATATGAGTGATTAGTTTCTCAGTTTTAAATCCATAATTAGATGAAATCGTACGTTCGTGATGAGAGATAATGGAAACAGTGCTATCACTGCAGGGCTAATTTAACTATTTGAATATAGTAAGAAGTTGGTTTTTTAAAAAAATTATCTAGTGAGTTAATGTTTGAGAAAAATCAGGTTTGGAGGAAGATGATTTAGGTAAGATATTAGTAGGAATTTTGAAGGGATATTTAAGTACTTTAAAACTGAAAGGCACTGATTCCTTTTCTCACTTTAACAAATGTTAAAATTATCGACTAAGCATCCATGCAGTGTCATTGTCTAGAAAGCTTGGTCTGAAAAACGGCAATTTCTGGAACTCTCCCTCTCAGCCTCCTTGTTTCTTACTCCGTAAGGCAAATATTGCCAGGTCTTTCTGGTGTTTTTCCCTCCGCCAAATGTTTGCTGGGTCCTGTGTCCGCGGGTGCGGTGGAGCCGAGGCATGGAAACGCCTGCTCTCCCTTCCGTCCGCCGCGTGCTTTCTGCAGCGTTCTGCTTCTCAGTGCCCCGCTCCTGTCTTCCCTGGAGCCGGCTTGGATTCTGACCAGATCGGTTTTGGTAGCGACCGCTGAAATGCTAGTGGTGGCTTTCATTTCTTCACTCTTTCCCGCTACCGTTAATAATTATTTTGCTGGCTTAGTAATATGCATTTTAAGCTTCTTTCATGTTTTTCAGGGCTTAATAGCTCATTTCTCTTTCCTGCTGAATACTGTTCTGTTGTAAAGACGTGCCAGTTTACTCTTCCACTCACGTTTTACTTTTCTAGCCAGTATCCAACAAGGTCTTCACTATTGAATTAATAATTTTGAAGTTTCATAGGTATTGTTTTATTTCCAAGAGCTCTTTTTTTTTTGGCTCTTTTCAAAACATTGTCCTGTTCTGTTCTTGCTTCCGGG